ACTACTTGCTGTGGTGCTTGCCAAGGCAAGCTTATAATTATAGCAGCGCTTGATGGACTTTGTGGGTAGTTGGGATTTCAGTTGCTCAGACTGCATCTCAGGAGGCATCTGGTCTGGAATTGTTCTGGGAACGTGCTTTTAGATGAACAGGAGCGACACTGCTTAGAGACGTTTTGCACAAATAACTCTTGCTGCAAACCATTATTTTGGAGTAAATGATAAACAAAAATGTTGCTAAGCTAGTACTAGCTTCTGCTTTAATTTTATCCAGCATTTTTCTTCCATTTTTAAAAGCGGGATGAAACGAAGCTGCGGTTGATGGAAGTAGTAGAGTCTCAATTCCCAAAGTAGTTGCTGCTGCCTGTTCTTGGAGTAAATGATCATTAAATAAGTCCTTGAGTAAAATTATTCAAATTATTTCTGTTAAAAGACCTCACTTTTTAAGCATCTTAAGTTTTGAAGTGCTGCATAAACCATGATTTTTGTCTTTAATAACCTTTGTGTGTCCGTGGCTTCATTTTCTTGCAGCACGCACAATTTGATTTGAGTGGTCTACTCAGCGGTGAGCAATACTTCTGCCATTAAAATCCCTTTATAAGCAGCTCAGTATCATTGCCCCATTTGTCCCATTCAGAATTCATAGTGAGAGCTTAGCAGTTAAAAAAAAAAAAAAAGGCGTATGTTCTTTTTAATATTGTCCTATCTCATTATGTCTTGTGATTCTGACTGGTATTTCTCATCTGTTTTCAGATTAATGTTTCCTGCCTGTTGAAATGCTTATGACCTCAAAAGTCGTGTTAGCAATTCGGCTGGAGTCGCATGCTGTTTGCTTATTTCTCTTAATAACTTTTTTTCATTGCACTTCCAGTAGGCAGGTGAACATCTGATGCAGTAGCAGTTCCCTGCTAATACGCATTTTTGTCACACAACACATCCGACAACAATATAACTTCTGCTGGATGTATTCCTTGCTTGGCTGTTGTCTTGGGCTTCTGGGAAGCTGTGAATGGATGCTGAAAGCATGCTTTGTGGTGCATTGATAATCTTAATAGACTGGTCATGCTGTACTGTGTCTTTGACCCTTGGATGATTTTGCAACTGTTTTTTTTTTTTTGTTTGTTTTAAATTAGTCAACGTTTTTTGAAAGTTTTTCTATAGGGCTTTTTAGGTTAACTTCAGAGTGTTTGCTTTTCTGATTCCTTGAATTAACTTCTAAACGCAGTGGAACAGTTGTAGAGAAGTTTATTGCGCGGATCTTAACATCAGTGCCAGAGATTATTCTGGTTCGTAAAATCGTGACTGTATTCAAGTTGCATTGCTTTAGGATTACATTTGTTCTATTTGTTGTGAAATAGAATTTACTCATTCCACAGACTTCAAGCTTTTTTCAGTGACATGAAGCATTTAAATGTCCTGAAGAGGTGGATGGGTCTTCACGAGCTCTTCCTTAAGTTTCATTAAATGTCATTCTGAAGCTTACCTTGTATTTGAGGAACTGGTTCTCTCATGGTTTTGAGTAAGACTCAATTTGAGTTTCTCATCTCTCCAACTGTCCATTTTTTAAAGAAATTTGACACAGACTAATGCTGAAAGTGAAGACTTCAAGAGTGATACTTGAATTGATCATTAAACATCAATCATGTTTTTTGTTCAACTTCTGTAGAAAAAAACGTGCCCTTCTAAGAAGTGCTATAATATGGAAAAAGTTGAGTCATTAAGTCTTGTGTAATTTCAAGCACGGTAACTTCAAGTGCGATTACGAATACCTTAACTTTTTCAGTTTTAAACCAAGGACTTTTGCTTAAGTTTAGAGTAGTCCATAATTGCTAGATATCAGATGCCAAGGACAGGAAAGGATGTCACTCTGCGTTAGATGTAGGGAGATCATAATATTGATTTATTTTTTTTCTTATTTTTACAAGTCAGGTACATCATGTCATGCTGATATTTATTCATGTTTACACATTTGAAATTATTTCAAAGTAAAGTTATTCAGAAAATCATTGTAGAACGTTAGGCATTTGCTTCCTCCTTCCCCTCCCTAGTCCTGTTGAGACACACGGTGGTACTTGAGGCAGGAGAGTTATTTAAAAGTAGTGTTTAAAAACACCACAAAAGCCTCATCTGACTTAAGGAAGCTTTTTCTGTTATTCTGTCTGTTTACCTGGAGTTCTTCCTTCTCCTCTCTATTATATATAATTTCAGTAAAAGTTTCCTTTTCCTGGGATTTGTGCTCTTGAAAGGTTTATAGGTTTGTGTCCACTGGCTTTTTTTCTCCCTAGAGGAAATGTGCACGTTCTTCATCCTGAAGAAAGACCAAAGTTCACTCATAAAACTGGTCTTCCCAGACTGACCGCAGCAATTGCTTTGACATGAGAATATCAGCCTTGCAAACAGTGACAATACAATCACCATAGCAAATTGAAGTTGCTTGAAGGAAGTAGTTTGCTCATTAAAATGGTGAAAGAGGAGAGGCACCAGAAACCATGAATCTTTTTGCACGCAATATTCTTTGGCTGGCAGCTCAGAAGACAGGTAGTTAACAAAACTTATGGTGATGGCAGGTGATTTGGTAAGAAGCTGGATGCCAGTAATTAAGCTGTTAAATCGTGTGTATTTTAGTTCCCTTCATAATTGTTAGAAAAAGTGTAAAATAGGGGGACTTAGGCTTTCTGAAAGCAACAGTCTTAACAGCATTGGATCATATGAGAAGAAACAAATGGAAGCAACCAGTTTAATTTAAATTATTTTGCATCGGATTCAAAAGTGAGAAGAAAGGATTTTCTTTTTATTCTTGGAAAGGATTCAAGTTGAATGCAAGCATAGGGCTGGAAGCTTGTTTAGGCTTGATGTGAGAATCTCGAGAAGACAAAACAGTATCGCAAGTACAGTTTCTCCAATTTACACAGTTTGGAATAGAATTTTATTTGGATTGATGTAGAATTTAGGACTCAGCGTTATCCTTGATTTTTTTTGAAGTGGTTTAGGAAGAACAGGGTGTAATAGCGGTATCTGGGGCCAGAGATATGTTTAAGTAACATTGAGCCAATTTTGAATTTAGATTAAAGCAGTGTATAAATATTTCAAAAGGAAGTAGTTGCTTTTGAAGACACTGTTGCTACACTTGGAAAATATTTTCATCTGATGCACCTAGTCATGTGCTCAGACTGCCAGGAACACCTGCATTCTGATCCTGCCCTTTTCTGGGGCTTTTAAATGGCTCATTTGGGTTTCCTCTTCTGTTTCTGAGGTGTGGCTCTCCTATATCCACCCATCAGTGTGAAAGGAAGAAAGCACTGTACTCTTCGTGTTTGCACTGAATTCAGTGCAACTGTCCATAAATAAGATCTGTTATAGCTAAACAGGGATGATGTGGGCTGGAAGGGGCGTATTAATGTAGGAGGTCACAAAAAGCGTACCAAATGTTTCGTTGATTTTGAAGGCAGCTTAATAGAATCAGTCTGTTGTGCCATGGGAAAACTGTCCCACTTGTTGATTCTGACTGAAAATCTGAAATAAGTTCCCTTGCTTTTTTCCCCAAAGCTCGTGAAGACTGTCTTGATAAAATCACATGTGTGTGTGTCTGAGCAAACTCAGAATCTTGCCGAATCTTGGTTTTCTGAGAATTGTCATTTGTTCTTTAGGCACAATGTCTTTGGGCTAGGATATGTTAAGCAGAAGGATTAAACTGAGAAACAAGCTTTTGGCATTAATCCAGGATTGATTTAACATAGTTGGGGAAGAATATTCTGGGGAAGAATATTCTGGAGAAGGCACTGTAATGATGCAGTCCTAGGTTTTTGCATTTTAATAAGATGAAGGATGACATTACTCTGCATGTTACTGCTGGGATTCAAAGATTTTTTTAAGAATAACTGTTGCTTTATCTGTCAATGCTCATCATGGGGGAATGGTAAGGGTGGTGCGTGAGGTGGGAATGAAGAAGCATCTACATTAAATAACGAGTAAAAGTTCATACAAAACACCTTCGGGTAGCAGGGCGTGAATGTAAAAATCTGATCTCACAAAGCTGTGACAGCCAGCAGGTCAGACCTCACATAAATTTGTGACAACACTTAGAAGAAACTTGGGTGACATAAACTGCACTCCTCTGCCACTTAGCAGAAATGCCTAAGTGAGCGCCCAGAGTTGTCTCTACGCAGTAACCACTGCCGTGCCGCCGAGGTGAAACCTGCCTCTTGCAGCGCGGCAGGAACCCGGTTCCTGTTCTGATCGGGCAAAAGCCGTTCTGCCTGCAGGAGGGCTCGCGGGCACCTCTGTCCCCGCTCAGAGGAGAGGGGGGTTCTTAGGAGTCCGTGCCCACAACGCAAACTCTTCAAGTAATTATTATTCCCGGTTTGGAGGAGAAAGCTGTTTAATGAGCTCTCTGCTGCGTGTGGAAAAAAAAGTGCAGGAAAGTGACTTCAGGTCAGTATTAATTCCTGTTCAGAAGCGATTCATTCACAGGTGCTCATAGCTGAAAGAAGAGATCCTTATTCTCAGGGCAGCTCCGCTGAAGGTCTTTCCCCCATGAGCTTCAACAGTCCGTTGTCATTTTAGATTATTTCAAATATATAGATTATATAGATTTAGATATATAGATTTAGATTATTTCAAATATATGCTGCTGTTTGCAGCATAGACCTTCTTATTCCTTCTAGATGATATGCTAGTAAAACAGTGTATTAGTTGTGCAGTAAAAATACAGTTTGTGAGAAAGGATTTCATGTAGCAGAAAAAACAGATTATGGGAAAAGAGCGCAATAGCTGAAGCTGACCGTACTCACCAAAACAGTAGACGTTCCCACTGTTCATAAAAAGTGCAAAAGTATTGTTATTAGTTGCAGGTCCAATACCATAGTACTATTTTCTACAGAGAGCTTACTTTTGTTGTTTATTTAGAAGTTTTGAAATTCTCATATTGTCTAAATAACCGTTAGTCTTGCTTAGTTTTTTCACCATCGTTTCACGCACCTTTTTTTTCCCCCCCCCCCAGGCCCAAAATGTTCAACACAGCAAGGACATGACTCTTGCCAGCAACCGCAGTCTGGCAGAAGGCAATCTTTTGTACCAGCCAAAGTTGGAATCTTTGAAATCAAATTTGACTGAAAAATATCAAGAGCTGCAAGTTCTTTTTGAAGCATACCAGATAAAGAAAACAAAACTAGGTAACAGTTTGTGTTGACGATCATGATTTGCTGTTTTCTAAGGGAATGTGTATCTGTTGCAGTTTTTGCTTGTTTGTTTTTGGTGTCTCATTTTCAGCTGTGTGAATTAGGGTACAAAATGAAATGTCATTCTTGTGTAGTTCTGAAATAGATCATGCTTCTCATGATTTATTAAGTATCTGTTACACCTAGTAACTGTGTGGTTACCTACCTGTTGTTGCCCTGCCGTTCTCTAAATGATCAAATTCATTTACCTTGCTAAAAAGCAAAACATAATTTGAATTTTCAGTGATTAATCATAAATCCAATGGACTATTGCATTTAACCTTCTCATTTCATACTGAATTATGAAGTATTGTACGTCTGATACTGCACTTGTTGAAGTGCTTTGTCTTTCAATATTATAAATATATCATTGTAATTAAATTTCAGCTTTAGCAGTCTGATAATATTCCTAAACTACTTAATAAATTTTCTTACTGTAGATCATCCTGTCTAGAACAATGGAGTATGCTAGCTGTACGTATGTGCCTTAGGAATTTTTACGCTTGCTGAGGCTGTATAGCTTCAGTTAGAAGTCACTTCGAGCCAGCTGTCGTTTACTGTTCTCCTTGTGCCATTACAGACAGACAATCCAGTAATGCTTCGCTGGAGACGCTGCTAGCGCTGCTTCAGACAGAGGGGGCTAAGATTGAGGAGGACACAGAGGTAATGACAGTACACTTCGATTCTGCCAATAACACCGATTACCGAAGACTTTGAATGTACACAGCTGCAGTATAGTGTTGAACATGTAATGGACTAAAGGGATATTTTTAAGATTATGGTCTGGTCTTTGCTTTCAACTTCAATGAAGAGTTTCAGCGAGAGTTTTTTTATCTGAGTAATTTTTTTACTCTTTCATCTTTGAAGTTTAAGAGAGAAAACGCTCCTTTTCAGAAAAGAAAGCCAAACTGTCTTAGTTCCTTGGCATTGCCTTCAAGCTCATAGCATATAGATGTGGAATATTTTTTTTAATGGCGTTTGCCTGGTATATTTATTAATCCGTTACAAATGTCAATTAGTAACCTAATGAAAAACTGCGCCTGCACTGTGTTTTCTCCAGCATTGCTGGTGAAATATTCCATTATGATTTCAGCGTATCTGTCTAGGTGCCAGTAGTCACCACTCGCTGTGATACAAGGGCTTGAAGGGTGGTCTGTTTTCAGAATAATGGAAATGTTTGGTTTTGTTTGCTGATTTGCCTGTAGAACATTCTCTATAACTACATAGCCTGTTAGCATCAGGGGAAGGAGCTGCTTATTGGCCCTGAGTTGTGATCAGAAAAAGAAATTCCCAGGACAAGTTGAATTTTGTGATTATATGTATGGTCACCTCTCTTAATTATTAAACATCATTTACCCAAAGCCACAAGTAAGCGTGAATAGTAAACCTGGCTTAGCAGTAATCTGCCTCTCCGTACTGAGGCTTGCAGAGTTGTCAGTGTTTCTGTTGGCACTGCAGGCAGTACTGAGCTGTATTTCAGCTTAGCTGGCAATCTGGAAAGCTGTTGAACTTGATTTGTTCCCATCTCTGATGATCAAGGGAACGTTCAGAGCTGGATTCAGATGTTCTTACTGCTGTTGCTTTAGTATAAATTTAAGCAAAAATGATACTTAACTCCCAATGCTTCTGAGTAATAGCTAATTCAAAATTCTGCTCAGAATTCTTAGTATGCCAGTCATCTTCCGTATGCAAGCTGGAAAATCACAGGCAAAATTATGCTATTTTTAGGATATAAGCCATTTAGATTCTCTTGCAGTATGCTGTTTTCTAAGAGATTGTTCCGTATTTGACAGAATATGGCAGAAAAATTTCTTGATGGTGAAATACCACTGGATTCCTTCATTGATGAGTACCAGAGCAAGCGTAAACTGGCTCACCTGCGACGTGTGAAAATTGAGAAGCTCCAAGAAATGGTGCTGAAGGGACAGAGACTTCCGCAGGTTCAGCCGCAGGCTCAGCCAAGAGCGCCTGAGACAACACCAGCACCTCAAGATTCCTACACTTCGGATGCAAACACTCCTCCTTCAGTTGTGCCCCGACGAATACCACCCCCTCCACCTTCTTCAGTCCCAGCAGGATGCTTTCCTACTCCGTTTACTGCAGCCATGAGTTCAGGACCAGCTCTGTCTTATCCAGGTGCTCCGTATCCTCCTCTCCCCCCTCGACCAGGAGTTCAGTCTGCAAGTCAAATGCCACAGCCAGGATACCCATCTCAGTTTGTACCACAGTATCCTCCAGCTCTTCCCCAAAGACCACCTCGCCTTCCACCACATCCTGGCTTTATCCTCCAGTGAATATCTTGGTGCGCCTAACTTATGTATTGGTGCTTATATTTCCTTTTTCTCTCCGTCAGAGACTTAATGTAGGCAATGGAAAGCCTCTGTTTTTTGCACAATGGAGTACAAAATCCGAGCTGTGGCACAGAGGTTTGCAATTGCGTTTGGTAAATGTGATTGGTTTTGTTTTCAAATATCGGTGACAACAAGGTTTTTCTAGGAAGGTGGTAGGGTCTAAATTTTGTAAATCCGTCAAATTGTGAAACAACGTACAGTTGATTTCCTGACATTACAAATTGAATCATGCTCTGAATTCTTTAGCGATGGTAAATCAGCATCCTCCTCTGTTCTGATGTATTCCCGTCGCAGCTGGATGTATGTGTGGCAAACTGGGAGCTGTTTGTCTCTCTAAAGAATTCTCTATTAGTGCCAGTGTTTGGATAGTAACAACCGTATCTGAATGCTGGGCAAAGAGTTGCAATGGACCGCATCAGCATCCTTTGCAGTGTGCCCAGACAACGGCATTTGTGGCCAGGTGCACAATGTTTTCAGAGCTCGCTGAGCTGAAAAACTCTTGTCAGAAAATGTTCTATGGCTTTTAGACCGTAAAAGTTACAAGAGTTTCATTTCTACATTTCACTTGTTACCTTAAGACTTTTCATAATAAAAGTACGCACTCCTCCCACTCCTAAATAGCTTGATATCCTGAAAGTCCTGGTCTCTTGAAATTAAACTAAACTGTTTGTAGAGCCAGTTTAGAGTTTTATAGAAACTTTACCAGGCATTTTTATTTCCTTGCCTGTTAAGACTTTTTCTTACAATTTTTTTTTAATTATTTTCCACACCTTGGATACAGAAGTGATTTTTTTACACAGGTGCTTAGCTTTTGATATCATGTGATTCCAGGAATCTAGGCAGGGTACTTTCTTAATCAAATACTGGGTTTTCACATCATGTACTTGCCCACTTGAGGCTCCACAATTTCATTTTATCCCTCAAACTCAGTCTCTCGCTTGACAGAACTATTTTTAACTTTCCCATTTCCTTTAGTTTTGCAGTTTTTGGCATGCGTATCTATCTGGAATTCGCAGTTAACGTTTCTCTGCAAGCAGGCAAAACAGAAAAGCTTTTTGAACTCCATGGTGGCTGTTTGCATCTTACATAATCCATTCTTGACTTCTTATGCCACTGGAGGGGGAGGCTTTTAGGGGAGCTCAGATTTCATTCTCAGGGTGACTCCTGAAGCCTAAGGTGCAGACGCAGGCGGGTATTTTACTCTAGCATTGGGGGAGGCAAATCTTAACACTTGTCGCTTGTGCAGAATGTGTCCATAAATTTATTATCAATTTCTCACATCCACAAACAACTTTGAACTAATTCATGGTAATTTAAGAAACTCACAGTCCATAAAGTGTCATAGCCCCTGCATTATTTCAAAACGTTTTCATATCATTATCCTGGAATGCACTACATTGTTTGGAAGTCTGTACTACAAACAGCATCAGTCAAAATAGAATAGCTGTTTTTTTTCTTTACGTAAGACCCTTGACTGTCCCTTGATCATTTCCTCTGGAGTGTGGTGGTTGCTAGCAAATACTAATCTGAAATTAAGCTCATAACAGGAAGCTCTCTATTCTGAAAATATGGTTATTTGGCTTGTTTTGCCTTCTGAAGACAAAGGGCAGAAGGTTGGTCAGTCTTACTGGCATCTGAACCAATTCCCCCGTGTAAGTCTGGAAAGTCTCTATAGATGGGGGATTTTGTGAAGCAACGTGCATTGGATTTGTTTGCAAAGTGTGTTTTTTCTGTAATCTAGTGATGGTACAGGATGTGTTGGTTTTTTTTTTTTAAATAGTGTAATATCTTTTCTTGGTATTATTTTCTCACTGAAGCTTCGTATAAGCATGGTTAATTATGACTCGTTTCAAAGTAATTTTGCTGTGCTATTAGTGCTGGTATTTGGAGGGCAGCTGTTGTATCTGAATGCTAAACATAAGGCTGCTGTAGAAATGATTTGTGTCCTAGAAAGAATTAAAGTGGGTGGGCGCTACCAGGGTGGTGACTGAGTACAGAAATCCGTACTTTGAGCCTGCTACACAAAAAACTCTAAAACACTCTCAAATTAGTTTTGCTAACATTTAATAAAAACAACCAGGTATATTTTACACTTATCAAGTGCCAACTTTTTTGCCGAGGGCTGAAAATCCTCAGAAGTGATGGAAGTGATAGATAAGTGTATTGTGAATTTGCACTGCATTTTATGTATCTAACTTTATTGGTGGTAGTAGTCCAAAAATATTTTTACTACTTGTTAAATTTTCTGTCTTTTGGTAACTTTTGTGATAACATGACCTTTCAGGGATACTTTCTCTAAAAACAAACTCTTGTGCAAACTAAATACAAACAAAGCTAATGCAATTTTTCTGTCTGAAAGCAAAACAATGCATTATTGCGTATGCATGTGGCTCATGTGCCTTAGGATCACTACTTGTGATTGTAATACTAGGATATTAGCATTTTTATCATTTGAATGGCCATTGCTTAACTCTAATTCAAGGGCTCTTCAAGAGCACATTCTTCTACGAAAAAACTCACCCTCATACTTCAGAAGAAACAAAGGCCGTATCTGCTATTTGTAAGCGTATAGTTGCCTTCACTGATGGATAAGTTTGAACGTAGATAATGTAACTAATGTGATGTTTCAGTTATAGCGATCTCGTAACTGAAATCCAGCTGCTCATGGAAAACGTTTTGCCATTAATTGCGTGTGTGTGCGCACAAACTGTAAATATATACTTGACTGCTGGTGATGTTTAAGGGTAAAGGAGAAGGATGGCTGTGGAAAGCTGTTTAAATCCTTTCAGAAACAAGTGTTAGGAAACACTAACCTGAATGCGTGGGGCAAGAGATGGGTCAGTGCTTTCGACCCGTTGCCCTTCGACAGCTTCTCCTGTTCTGTTATAGCTAATAAATAAATTCTGCTATGGCTAGGATGTTTAGAATCATACTAATTTGCACTGTTTATAAGATAGTGAGATTAAAATGCCATAGGCAAGCTGAGACTTGAGAGGGGGTGGCTCAGTATGCTTGCCGAAATATATATATTATTATGTTGTCTTGAGGATTTTTAATGTCTGCTGCAAATAGCATATACTTCCCCAAAGCAATTGGAGTGGAGAAAAATCTTTTAAATACAATGTGTGACACGGCTTTAGAGTGTTGGTAGCGTTGAAAATGCTCTCGTTGGATGGCATTTACTTTTGCCAGTCTTTTGTATGCAGTTTTGTAAGTTATGACTAATTCAATTGTATCTGGTTAGGTTGGTTGATGGATGATCAGCACTGAACGGTTCGAACTCAAGGATGAGTTTCGCTGCACTTCAGTGCTGTCTCCTGGAGGAAGCGGAGTCGGTTGTTCTAGCACAGCTGATCCACAGAGGTCACCTTTGTACCGGTGGCCCTGGAGGGACGATAGAGAACATAAGCTTTCACGTGATGCCCGGAGGCAGAGCCCTGGGCACAGTCCCGTCATGGGTAACCAGCACGTTTAGTGCCCCAACTTCCACAACCTCAGTCTCGACCTCTTTTGGGACTTCTCTGCCCTCTCAAACTGGAATAACGACTTAGATACAGAGCTCAAATCGACAATTCCTTTAGCCTGAATATACAGCTACTTGGCAAACATTGGGTTCTGAGGAGGTAGAGTCGTCCTGCACCTGAACAGTTCCTCTGTGTAATCCTGGACAGTCTGATAAAGGGGCAATTTTATGTGCCTAGCAAGTTGTGAAACGTACAGTGGATTTGTTTGCATAATAAGTCTTTCTGTAATCTACTGTGGTCTGATTTTAAATAAAATAGCATATCTCTCTTGGTGTCATGTTCCTGTTGTGGCTTCATTTAATCACGGTGGAGTTATGTTAATGTTTTTCAATACTAGCGGTGGTTTTTATGTAGCAACATAAAAACAGTTGTAGGTGAATGTAGAACATAAATTTGCAAGAAGATAACTTTAATTACTCATAGTAAATCTGTTGGCCGTGTTTTTAGTGACTGGATATAGCGAGTCCATTTTGTATGTAGCTGATACAGGATAGGTGTGCTCGGAGTCGATGCTGCGTGGTGTAATCGTGGCCAGGAGGTAGGTGGGCTCTCTGGCCAGGTAGAATCCTTTCGCTTTCGTTTCCTACGATTAGCTGGAATAGTGGAAGTGTTCAGAGTCTTCACCTGGAGAAGCTGAAGGAAGTGGGAAAGCCATTTTTATTTGTTAAAAGAAGAAAAACTTCGCTTTCAGCCAAGACGTGTTAAGACAAATGAGTCAACCAAAGTTATTTAGGAGTATGATATGAGTCAGAGGGCAGAAAAGACCCGATACCATTTTCTGTGATATCTGTTGTTTCAGTAGCGATGTGAAATAGAAGTCCTGCTGCAGAATGACTGATAATATGTGGAAGAAAATCCCTTTTTTTCAATTGTTTCTTGATAACGTTCCGTTTGCGGTGGCTACGGAGCTTTGATAACCTTCTGCTGATGCAGAAATAGGGAAGTACAGCTGAGGAAAACTTGCTGTGCTGACTCAGTGCAGGTAGGCGAGGGAAGGGGATGGTGTTATGTAAAGCTGCAGTTCTTTAACTCGGCTCTTCTAAGAATTTGCAGCAACGCCCGTGTTTTGCAGCTTGAAGAAGGTGCGTGCAAAACTTCAAGAAGTGCCTGCTCCGAAATCGGGGTTCGGGTGGCCCTTCCCCGTGGCTTGCGTGCACCAGGGGATCGTCCTGGGTGGGATCGTTCCCTGTGCGAAGGAGAGGTAACCCGGTACGGTCGGACCTTGCTGGGCGGGAGGCTCCCATGTCAGTTGTGTAACGGGTAACAAAAAAAGCAAAGTAACACAGAAAAGGCAAGTGGTGTGTCAGTGATACGCTGGCAGCATTTCACGCGGTCTTGACTTGCCCCTTCTCCCTGGAAGCCGGCTTCAGAGGCCGCGCCAGCCTACGCAGATCCTTCAGTAGCACTTGTTCCTGTAATTTGAGTCCTCTTCTGGTTGTGTATTAATCAGCCCTCATACAGATCTTTTACAGGTATGCCTGTTCACCTCTCCGAGACTTTGTCACCAGAAACAAGACACGTGTTGCTTTGAGTTCTTTTGAGAGATTTTTACGTCA